GTGATTGTAACAGGTCAGGAAACAAGAAGGGCAGAATTGGGAGAAATAAATAAGAGAGGAGACCACCATCCTTGTTCAGGGAAGCCATAGAAGAGGCTGAAGGCCCAGGTGCTAGGGCAGATCTTGTCAGAGCTTGGGAACTGTCAACTGACAGATAGTGATAATTCTAGGGATGTGGGGACCTCAGAGACAGGAAAGGGAAGTCCATCCTGTATCTGAGAGAGGGGATGGAAGTAGGACAGACAATGGACTGTAGAGTAGAGATCAACCTACAGTTTTGATCATGCATCCCTATCGAAGTATTTTCATTCCCCGATGCACCCCACATGTATTTATAAATAACCTCCACAGGGTAAGGATATTGTAAAGCCTATACAAAGTATAGACATTTAAAAGGATGAGATACATTTAAACAAAAGTTGTAATATTTTATTCCTTACTCTAATGTTACTCTTCTTGTGTACCCCAGTCAATCTTCTTGTGCATCCCATTTGGACACCACTGGTAGAGAATAGATGACCTTGCTGGGAGGGAATGGAGTATGAAGTTGTCATCTCTTATGTAGGCCGAATCATCTTCTAAAGTCTCCTTTAGCTTTTTTTCTTCAAGAGAATCCTGTTACCAAGTACATGAACAGGGATAGTGTCAGGTAAGAATTCAGTCTCCCACTGCTCCCTTTCCAGCTTCCAGTACTCTATTAGCTTTTGGATTGCACAACTTTCCCCAGAAGTTGCCATAGTTACGTCTGAGGTTTCTCCACCATTAGGAAGCTCAGATCCTATTATTTGGTAGTGACCACATCTGACCTGGAAGAGTATGGCTGGTATCATTACTGCTATTTTCAATTTGACAAAAAGGGAAGTGCTTTGTTTAGACTGTGTACTCTGAGGACACAAATCAGACCTTACAGAATACTTTACGCAGATTTTTTGGTTGCAATGAAGCACTAGCCCAATAGCGTTCTTTTGCTTGGTTGATTGGGTGGTGTTTTGTTTTTATCTGTTTCTTTGGCCAAAGAGAGAGAGAGAGAGAGAGAGAGAAAATTATTAGCAAATATCATAGCACATTTTTCTGCAAGTTTTACAGATAACCAATTGTCACTATTAGAAATAAAAAATTTGCTATGAGATTTTTACCTATGCTGTTATTTTATTACCGTAATGAGAAACAGACATAAACCTGTAGTTGGTATCTAAGAACACCATCAAAGCAAATCTGATTGGAAAAAGCCACATCTGTGGTCTTGGTTTGACGAACTAACATTTGGGTAGAACTAGTGGGTTTCTGGAAGCTCTTAGGTGTAGTGCCTAAGGCATCTGAAAGCTAACCATAAGGCTGGCGGTTCAAACCCACCAGCCACTCCTCGGAAGGAAGATTGGACAATCTACTTCATAGTGATAGCACCTCAGAAACCCGAGGAGGGGTCGCTATGAGTCGGCTCCTACTTGACAGCAGTGAGTTTGGTTTGGAGTTTCAGCTGGTTTCTGCCTTGCCTCTCAATGCTGTCACTGGCTTTCCAGCGTAATGCAGGTGATTCTTCTCTGTGAAGAACATTGTAGCCAGTCCTGGTTACCCTAGAGATGCCTTATCTCCCAGTGCACCTTCCAGGCAATGGCAGTCAGCCACTGCTTCTATCCGTTTAGCCAAGCCCTGTGGATGTGAGCCTGGTTCTCACTGACAAGGGGCAGTTAGTTTACTGAAGTTGAAAGCAAACTACAAAATCTAGCCTGTGTACAATTAGGAAATAATTTTTTTGTATCTCAATAAAAATTTATGGAAAAGAAATTCTGTAAATTAGTAGTAATTAAGATAAGTCATATTGTTTCATTTTATAACTTAGGTTGGTTTTGCTGTTTCCTTAGTTCCCTGTGACTTGGCCTTGTCAAGGTGCAAGCAAGGACAGCTGTCTGGGCTTGGCACCACAGAACTCTCCTGACCACCACTCCATGGCATCTGTTGCTTTTATGTCTCGTGGTGGGGGGAAGGGAATGAATCAGAAAGGCAGAAATCAAAAAGACTTGCTGAACTATACGAATGTTCTAACAGATATTTTAACTGTACAAAATTTTTTCCAAAAACTGTATTTTATTATAGTCAATCTAACCACTTAGTAATAAAAATAAATGTAATTTCATCTAACTAGAGTTTTTGAACACTTATTTCCAGTCAATTCCTTTTTTGTTTGAAGTGAACTTTCTATTACATTTTCCCCAATTATGTAAGTAAGTTGATTATGCAACTAAGAGGTTAGTAAATATGAGCATTATTATAGGATCAACATTTTTTAGGGGCTACAACTTAAGACTTTTGTTGGAATAATAAAAAGAATATGAAAAATTATTTTCTGGTCTGCCCTAAATTCAGGTTTATCATTCTTAGGCTTGATTTATAAATACCTGACTCTTAATCCCTTTTACAAATTAGCATACATTCTTAATCTAGCTATGAAACCAAATTAGGTTTCATTTTAAAACGATGAGGCCATAGATAGTAAAAAACAAAACAAAACAAATTCCACTAAAATAAAGTATCTGTTAAGTAACTATAACAAAACTTCATTTATTTAAAAATCCACTTCCTGGAATTTGTGATAGTTCAGAAAGGCACAGGACTGAAGCGTGCCTTTCGCCTAACTGTGTAAGGATTTACTAAATCAGTTTCTAGTAGAAAACATACTTCAGAGAAAAGACTGAAACTTCTGAAGAGACTGTTTCTAGTACCTTTAAATAATTCTGGACATTTACAGTACTGAACATTATCCTACTTGATAAATAATTCTTATCCATAACTCACTTCCATCCTGAGCCTCTGCTAAGTAAACCTTCCTTAACCTACTTTTAAGATTGCGTTTTTACAATGAAAATGAAAGTCTTTCCCTAAATCAGACTGTCCTTCCAAGCTAGTTCAGCTTGAGCAAAGCAGGTAGTTGGTTGTTTTAGTTTTAAAAAAAATAAAAAGTAAAAACAAACTCACTGCCATCCATGACATGCTATGAGTCAATTCAAACTCACAGCGACTCCCATTGGGTTTCCAAGGCTGTAAATCCTTACGGAAGTAGATTACCCCCTCTTCCTTGAACAGAGCAGCTGGTGAGTTTGAACCGTTGACCTTCTGGTTAGCAGCCAGATGCCTTATCCACTATGCCCCTAGGTTCAAATCCTGCTTCTATCACTTGGGTATGTTATTTATGGTCATAGAGTCTCCATTTTCTCCTCTGTAAAAATGGGGAAAGTAATACCTAAAAGAATTTTGATCCTATAATAATTCCCAAAACCTAAATCTTGTTATCATGGCACTATCTTGCAGGTCATTGGTACAAATGAGCCTCAGTCTCATCCCCAGGCCACCACAGTGAAAAATTTCTATGAAATAGTAAACATTTCAGAATATAGGTTTTTTTTAGACCCCGTTCCACCAGGTTCAAGGGCATCACAACCATTTTTTTGATTCTTCAGTCTTCCTTTCTCCTGATCTCCAGACACACCAACCTAGCCTGCCAGACATTTCTGGTTAATTATAAGCCAAAACAAAACCAAACCCATTGCCCTCAAGTGGATTCCAATACATAAGCTTTATCCAAGATACCCCACCACCCATCCCATCCCTGTCCCTAAAAACTGGTCTTCACGCTCTTTTCAGTTTATGCTAGAATGCACTTTCTCCCTGGGGTCCTCCGTCATCAACGCCCACCACTACGATCAAGCCCTTCACTCGGGCACAGCTATGCTTGGCAACCCCACCTCTTACAATTCGTCAGATCATCTCATTGTTAGAGGCTTTCAGAATGGTCTGGTCGTCATCTGAACTTTTTCATTGAAATGTGTCATTTGAGTAGCCCTCCCTGAGTTGTGGGGCTCTGGGCTTCAAACAAAATTCTTAGTTAAAGACACAAGAACAGAAGCATGGGTGGTGAACTGCGGACCCTACGCGCTGGTGAGTTCAGCAGAGGCTAATTAAGGACGTTCGTTTGGACGGGACAAGGACCAGGAGTAAGGAAAGACAGTGACGCACCTGAGTTGAGTCCGCTGGACTAAAGGAGATAAACTAAGGCTTGATGTGCTGCCGAGAATGAAAGAGGCGCGCGCGCGTCCACGCATACACACACACACACACACACACACACACACACACACACGAATACACACACAGACAAGATAATGGAGAGAGAAGAGAGCAGCCCAAGGTATTAGACAATGTCACGGCCCCAATCCGGACAACGTCTCTAAGCCTCCCGATTTCCGGAGTGCCCTCCCTACCTCGAGAGATTACTGTGAGCCAGCGCATCTCTCCTGGTTGCTTGGCCTCCACGCGCCGGGCGTCCGCCCCGCCCCCGCCCCGCAGCTCCCCGCCCCCCGCGAATGAGGCTCCCCTGTGTCCTCTCGAACGCCCGCGCGGCTGTGGAGTTTCGAAGCCTGGAGCCGACCCTCGCCCTAGACGCGCGGGGCCGAGTCGCTGGCGCAGCCTTTGGCCCTCGCATCAATCATTAACGGGCCGGCTCCGGCTGCGGCCCTAGAAGGGGGATGGTACGGAACTTGAGACTGGGGACAACTCTGTCCCCAGAGGCGGCTGCGAAACCCTAGCCAGGGAGGCCCTAGCCCTCCCTCGGTGCGCCGTCCCTCCCTCCAGCGCCTCCATTCGCACATCCCCGCCTCCCGCGCCGGAGGCGGCGGCGGAG